ATTATAATTTTTCAAATTTGTCCACAAATTTTCGCTGCATTTATTCATTACAATTATTTTTCCACAATTTCTATCTAAAATTATTCATTGCAATTTCCCCGTCGATGCCATTACTTTCATTCTTTCATCGGCGAATTCCAAATAAATTTTTAAAAAATCCTTTACCTAAAAAGTTTTTTTTCAAAAAAATGACGGATGCATTTCATTCTCTTTATCGTTTATTATTCTTTTTCCTTCTTTTTTCAGACAGTTTCATATTCCCTCTGAATCTCCTCTTTTATCTCATTTCACTATGGATGTCATTCCTTTTGACTGTGTTCAAAATTTCCCTTGCAGGTAATCGAAATTTGCAATGGGTTGACAGAAGGCGTGGATAAATGGCATTGTAGCGATGGATTTTATCTGTTTTATATGAACAAAGAACAGCAAAAAAAATTTTGTGAAAAGGAGGTTGAATTGCCGTCCGAATATCGATTGGACGATGTGCGTCCAGATTCGGATGACATTGGCGGACGGCACAGGTATACAGACACATATCGATGCAATCCTTTATAATTGTGGTTGCGCTTATTTTAGAATATGTTTTAAGGATATGGTACGAATGTTGGCCTTGCATGGCTCTTCGTCGCGGGGATGAATTGATAGATATTGTTTGCGTTAACAGTGACGGGGGTTATTGGCATTCAGATCTTCCAAAGTTATCTGAATTATCAAAAGAGGTCAGAAAAGCAGTCACATCAGCCATTTTTATTCGAATTTGGCAAAAATGGATCAGGTCAGTTCAGCTGTAACGAGAATTAATTATAAACACCATACAATAAATACGTAATAAATACAGTACAATAAATAACAAAATAATTACAATATACATAGTCAATAATACAATGCATAAGAGACAATTTAATATATAAAATAATGTAATAAATATATAAATGTATAATGCAATTGCATCTGTATGATTATGTAAATCATGAATCAATATAATTATGTTTAATGTAAATATATAATTATTTACGATTAGTATAATAAATATGTAATAAATATAACATAATAAATAATATAATGATATAAATATAATGTAATAATAAATAAATTATAGAATACAAACATGATACAAATCATTAATAATAATGTGCTCAAAATCAGTTTTATTTCAGCGAACAATTGTGTCCATTGCAACGAATTTATGTGAAAAAGGAAAAGGGGATCAATTATTACAGCCGATCCGAATCTTGGACCCGTCTTGAGGATGCAGACCGCAAACCGATTATAGTGGATAATATCCGTCGTTAATAAAGTATGTGAANATCGCGAAACGATAAACGAATTTTGATTTGAAATATCATTTCAGATCCTTTCAATTGAATAAATTGAACACACAGCGCATTGGATATCACCTTCACGCAGTCAGCGTTACATTAACTTCTGTCAGAAATGGGCAAAATTCCGTTAATTTGGTGGATGTTTGCTTAATTGTGATTATCAAATTGTAAAATGTCGCGTTAAAATATTCGCTGAGAATGTTTTCGTTTGATTTTATTCGTCGTTTTGAAGTTTTATCATTTCGAGTAGAAATTATTAGATTGCCGAATGTTACGTTTACATTCCGAATGTATTGTTTTTATTTAATTTATTGACGAATTAATATTCCGATTGATGAAATGGAATATGTTTTAGTGAGAGTGAAAGTTGTGACGAGTATAACGCGACATTAAAAATCGTGTGATTATTTTATTATTATTATTATTGTTATTATTATTGTTTTTATAATTATTATTATTGTGATTATTATTGTTTTTGTTAGTATTATTATTGATGATTTGATGATATTAACGGTCATGTAATCGGATGGTCCAATCGAAGGAATATTTTTCGAATGAGTGCAACAGTGAGATAAATCTCTAAATATAAAGTATATGGAGAAGTATATAAGTGTATATAATTTTGAATATAGGTAATATAAAAATATAACAT